CATAACCATACCTTTTCGGAATAGACTTTATATAAAGAGATCATTCTTTGCGTTTTATATTTATTGGTTTGGTAGAATTTACTTGCTAATTTTGACTTGCRCAGGTTACAAAGATGATTGGTAAGAAATTYAAGCCATCAGCTTTTCAAATTCGTTTTGCTGGATGTAAAGGTGTCTTGGCAATTGATGACTCGTTGACTGGTAAGAAGGCGTTCTTTCGTAAAAGCATGACGAAGTTTCAATCCAGTCATCGTCGCTTGGAGGTTCTTGCTACTTCACGCCCTCAGGCCGTGTATTTGAATCATCAGGTACCTTGACAGTAATTACTTTTTTTTTGCGCTACTCTCGACGGGGCTGGTGGAAAGAAGACATTGTCCTTTGTACTTGATTTGATGCAGCGCGTGCAACTAAAAAAAACAGCTAGCAGGGATGCAACGAGGTACGAATTCGTATCTCTACAACGTGATGAAACACAAAGCCACTAAAAACAAAGTGTAGATAATAACATAGAAAGTTGTTAGCTTTGGTGAAAGAAACCTTTTTAGTCTTAACGCGAGTTTGCTTTTTTTCAGTTGATAATGCTGTTGTCCAATCTTGGAGTTCCTGACATTGTGTTTATCAAGCTCATGCGCGAGGCTCTTAATAATCTTGCAGGTACAGAATTGACTTCGTAATCCTCGTCTTTTTTCATTCATTACCGTTCACTGACAGGCGGTCTTTTTTTCCTTCACACATATGACTGAACTTCGGTCGAGCATTCTATCACGTTCTATGTACTTATTGACTGAGTTATATCGGGCCGTACAAAAAAAATATTTGGCTCGAGGTTATGCCGTACGGCATCTTATCATATGACAGCGTTTTTTAATGTAAAAAAATGAATAAAAAGCGCGCGGAACTTCAAGTCGGGAAGATACGGGTTTGTACGGCCCTGTCGCGAAAAGGCGTACGGCGCCCCATCACGTGACCATTTCCCGAAAGTTTTTTAAGAGCGCGCGTAGGGCCGAAATTACGGGTCATATGATAATATGTTTTATGTGCTGTTCCATCGCTCTATGACTACCCTACGAACAGGTGGGAAAAATGGTGGGAAGTAAGGTAGATAACACTCTGCTCGCAGGGTATGTTCTGAGCAACCTTACTGATTTATTCCAGGAATGCTGCTTGATGAACGCCAAGCCGTCCGTCAGCTCTGTTCAACTGTTAAAACAGGCATCGCATATAACACTCTCAGTGAAGTTGGAGTAGCTTTGACCGTTGAACCGTTCTTTAGGTGCGTCATTGCGTCAGTTTACCATGATCACCTCCATTCTCTTCTAACAAGATCAAGAATCAAACTTAAYCCAAGGAAAGCAAGGCTTATGATGGGTGTAATGGATGAAACTGGTGTCTTACAATATGGCCAGGTCTTTAAACAATGATAAGATACAAACGAGTTGCGCTTTGGCAAGATGACGTTACATCATGTTTAAAGTGATAATGAGAATGAGAATGAGAATGAGAATTCAAGGATGTTTTAAGTGACGTCATTATGCAATAAGGCAATTTCATGTTGTGCAGGGCCGAGTTATACTACGAGATAAGCTTGAGCTCCAAAAACTAGATATAGATATAGGAATGAATTGATTAAGAAGACAAAAGGAAGGTGCTTTTCTTTGGTTATTTTTTCGTCTTTAATTGTTTGTCTTTCATCATGTTACATGCTATGCTTATGGCGATATACGCTTGACTTAATTCCTTTGACTTTTCTTTTGGTTTCTACTGACTTTTAGTGTTTATCGGTAGTGTGAACCGGCCCTAAAGTAATTTTGTAACTGCATGATTACGATGAACCTTGGACGTTTTTTGACACGATGCGAAGTTATGTGTACGAGTATTGTTGTTTATTTATAGGTTTTCGTCCAATACTCGGAGTGCTCCAGCGACCCAAAAAATTACGAAGACTTCGACCTTGATAAGAGATGTGTTTTACGAGGCCCTGTCATGGTAACTCGTAATCCCTGCCTACATCCGGGAGATATGAGACGGCTGGTTGCTGTGGATGCACCACAACTACATCATCTTGTAGACTGCGTGGTGTTCCCTAGAGTAGGACCCAGGCCACACCCGAATGAGATGGCTGGTAAGCGTACAAATATAATTAGCCTTTTCAATCTAATCCATAAAAAGCTTATCAGCGTAACAAAGAAAAAATTAGCAAAGATAACAACATTAAATAAATCCTTTTAACCAAATAAAAGTCGATCCAAACTCGTTTCCAGGCCCTAATCCCTTCGAAGGGATAAGGGTCTGGGAACGAGATTTGAAGTGGGTCCAACCCTTTATTCAACATTRTAATTTTTTAGTTTCCAGAACAAAGATGAACCCCACTTAAGATATGTCTTTTCCACTTTTAGGAGGAGATCTTGATGGCGATTTGTACTTCGTAACGTGGGACCAGGATCTTCTCTCTGACACGGATAAGGAACTATTTCCACCAATGAACTACGATCCACCTCCAAAACAGGAGAAAACAGACGACGTCACGACTGAAGACATGACGCAGTTCCTTATTGACTACATACGTTGTGATCAACTGGGCATCATTGACAATGCACACAAAGCTCATGCTGACCTTGAATCCGAGGGCATTGAGTCAGATAAGTGTCTTCTATTGGCTCAAGCTCATTCTTTAGCAGTTGACGCACCAAAAACAGGCCGTTGGCCAACTTTAGAACCAAWKGAAATCAAAGTTAAAAAATACCCAGATTTCATGATGAAGAATGATAAACCCAGTTACAAGTCTAGTAAGGTCCTGGGAARGCTCTTTTGTGCTTGTCGAGCTCTTAAAAGAAACAACGACCAAAACCCCAGCGTCCAAGTTAAACGACCAGTTATTGATGGTGCCTTTATTGTCCCGGGATACGAAGTCTTCTTGAGCCAAGCGCGTTCGTTGTACTTCAAATACTGCYACARTATCAAGCAGATAATGTCAACTTACGGAATTGCCTCTGAAGCTGAGTTGATTTCGGGCTGTTATCGTAAACTCTACAAACGCCTAAGCCGAGAAAGAACCGAAGTTGCAGAAATTGTGACTACATTAGTCGAGGATATCAGAGCAAAGTTCAGGGTGAAGTTTTTCAAGGAGTTTCACTTGGACGCCTCACGTCACAAAGCGCGGGAATTAATAGACAAAAGAATCCATCAGAAGGCTTGCGCTTGGTATCACGTGGCATACGCTGAAGAACCTAGTACCCATGACAGACGGTTTCTTAGTTTTCCTTGGATTGTTGATGACGTCATGGCAAGTATCAAAGAAGTGAAGAGAAAGCTCGCGCGCAAAGAATCACTGGGAAGCCCCTCCGACATGATTACATCACCCAAGATGACTGATGTCACTCAAGGTTTGATGAAGTACGTTGTCGATGAGAAAGATGCGTTACTTAAAGATTACAAGAGAAGGTTAAGTGGAAGAAACCAAGTCGCGAATCAAATCCACGTCTTCAATCCAAACCTACGCGTCGTTGCATTTGGCTCAACTGCAACATTTCTGTTTAAAGAAGACTCTGATGTTGACTTGTGTGTCTTTAAGAGATCACCAAACCAGAGGCCTTCTACCAAAAAGGAGCAGTTGAAACTACTTAAGCAATTGAAGGCAGTCCTTTGTAAGCTGTTTACCAACGTTCGTCTTGTCGACAGGGCAAAAGTACCGGTAAGGACAAAATAAACTAATGTACTTACGGATGTTAGTCTTTCGTCCGATCTAGGAAGAGTCTAACGTCCAAAGATGTCTTGCAAATGACGTTAAAACAGCTTTATGTTCGAACTGTGCAACTAACTGTGGCTCTTTGGATTTAGAAATCATCGTTATTATTGTCACCCATATTGACAAAACATGAAAATATTTGTTCTATTTTTCAGGTAATTTCTTGCAGGAAATTCAAACCAAGCGAGGTACCTGCATTCTCCATCGACGTTCCTTTTGACTTGAGTGCGTCTACTGATGGCTTAGACAAAGCGGTCATGATAACCGCTTACATCATGTCATATCCAACATTATTGCCTCTGCTCCGTTTCCTGGTCACCTGGGCTAAAGTATCTGGACTAACTGGACACGGAGCACGAATGATTGCWAACAGTAATTSTTTAGTGTTYATGTTCTTGGCGCACTGTATTGCCAATCGSTACGTGAGTGAATTGAGTGATGRCGTCGTTCAACATTTCTATACACAAAAYTCGTCAGACTTTCTTCAAGAATGGGAAAATGTAAGTCATAGTCGAAAT